GTTCCCCGTAACAATTCTGTGTCTGTCCCTAAAAGTAACCATTTCTTTTGGCCCCCTTAAGTAACGTTTTTGGGGCCCAAAAGTAACGTTTCTGGGGCCCCCTGGGTAACGATTCTGTGGCCCTAAGTAACTTTTCCCTGTACCTTTAAGAAAATTTTCTGTGGCCCTAAGTAACGTTTTGGGGCCCCCAAAGGGAAACGGTCTGTGCCCCTTCGTAAAAAAATTCTGTTTTCCCTCAGTAAAATCTGTGTTGCCCCGGGAAATTAAAAATTTTTTTTTTGTGTCCCTAAGTAAACGTTTCTGGGGCCCAAAGTAGGTTCTGGTTCCCTCAGTAACAATTCTTTTTGTCTGTCCCGAGTAACAATTTTCTGGGGTCCCCAAAAATTTTAAGTTTCTGGGGGCTTAAAGAAGGTTCTGGTCGTAAAAATTCTGTGTCCCCCCGTAAAAATTTCTGTGTTTGCCCCTAAGTAAAAATTCTTTGGCCCCAAAGTAACGTTTCTGTGGCCCCAAAGTAAGGGATTCTGGGGCCCCTAAGTAAGGGTTTCTGGGGCCCCTCGGGTTAAAAAATTCTGTTTTCCCCCCAGTAACAATTCTGTGTCCCTCATTTCCCCCAATTTTTTGTGTCTGTCCCTAAGTAAAAATTTGGGGGCCCCTAAGTAACGTTTCTGGGGCCTTTAAGTAACGATTCTGGGGGGCCCAAAGTAATTTTTTCTTTGGCCCAAAGATAACGTTTTTTGGGGGCCCTAAGTAACGTTTTTTGGGGCCCTAAGAAACGTTTTGTGCCCCTAGAAAACGTTTCTGGGGCCCCAAAAAGAAACGTTTCTGTGCCCTAACAAACTTTTTCTGTTTCCAAAGAAACGTTTCTGTGTCCCAAACTTCTCCCTCAATCACCCGGTCTGCCTTGTTAAAAGACTGGAGGCAAATGGAGAATTCTAAAATGGCCCCCATTTATAGCTCGACCATTACACAGTGCTGGCTGGCTGGCTGCTGATTGGCTAATATGGGTCAGTGCGCCTTGTCTGCGCGCCTTCCCAGACATCCCCTCTCCGTCGCCGCACATGTCGCCGCCATTTTAGGAAAAATTTCCTAATAATTTTCGAAATATTTGAAACGAATTCCACTTCGCCTAGTTCGATTCGCTCATCTCTACATATAAACATCAGTGAACAACAAAAAGCTTTGCAGGTTATAAAGTCATGTAGTACTCGGTAACAAATGTTGGCTTCTGGAGAAGCTCGATAATACAACCTGATCAGTGGTCTACATGAAGCAGTCACAAATTGCCACTTTTTGTATATGAAGACCATAAAAGTTGATACACCAAAGCTGGACAGACTGCAGACAAGGACAATTAGATTAACCGCTCGCCCTCCAGAGGATTTACCCCCCTTCCTGACCAGGCCATTTTTTGTGATAAGGCGCTGCGTTATTTAAACTGACAATTGCACGGTCATGCAATGCTGCACCCAGATTAAATTTACATCCTTTTTTCCCACAAATTGAGCTTTCTTTCGGGTGGTATTTGATTGCCTGTCCTGTTTTTATTTTGTGCTATAAATAAAATAAGACCGACAATTTTGAGAAAAAAGCAATATTTGTTACTTTTTGCTATTAAACATGTCCAATAAAAAAATGTAAAAAAATCTAATTTTGTCATAAATTTAGGCCAAAATGTATTCTGCGACATGTCTTTGCTAAAAAAAAATCTCAATATGTGTAAATTAATTGGTTTACGTGAAAGTTATAGAGTTTACAAATGCCAGTATATATACTGAAATTTTTTTTTCTTTACTAGTAATGGCATTGATCAGCTACTTATAGTGGGACTGTGGGACTGCGGCAGGCATTCTGACACTGGTGGGAACTGACTTGGTGTCACTGACATCCCCAGTGACACCTGTACAGTGATCAGTGCTAATTAAAATCACTGAAACTATACTAATGGCACTGGGCAGGAAGGGGTTAACATCTGGGGCAATCAAAGGGTTAACTGTGTGCTGTGTGCTGTTTCACTATGGGGGCTGTGTGTGCTTCACTGTAAGCACACTGCTTTGTATGGCTGTGCTATGCAGAGCCATACAATGCAGTGTGCAGGAGCTGACAGGGGAGAGAACCATATTGTTAACGTACAGGTCTCTCCCCCATCGGGGATACTCAGCGATCACTGGGTCCCGGCGAGTAATCACCGGCAGGGGCCGGTGATTGACAGCCGAGGCTGTGAATGGCGGTGCGGGAATTGTGCGTGCACGGCTCCCACGCGCCCCCTACCTGGAACTGCAAGATCACGTAAATATACGTGATTTTGCACACCCGTGCTGCCCTGTAGCAGTATTTCTGATGTAAGGCGGCACGGAACTGGTCAAAGGATAAGTTCACCTTTGGGAACATCACATGTTCCACATGTTGTTAGGGTGGAACATGTAACGTATTCGCACTCCTGCAGCCTCTGCATCTAGTGACGGCTAGAGAGGGATCCTTTCCCCCTCTAGCTTTCATTATTTTTTAAAAAACTGAGCCATGTGGAGCTCTGCTCGCCTGGCCGCATCATTCATTCACAAAGTTCGTAATGAGCTATCACGGCGTTGTTGAGTGATGTAGTAGTTCGTTATCTCTTCCTGTCAGTGTGTATCTGCTTGCCCGTATGAGGTAGGAGCAGACAGAAACACTGACAAGTCTGCAGGAGTCCTGCATGACACCCATGATCTGCTGATGACAGGTTCAGTTCTTTATAGGCTCCAAGTTAAAAAAAATAAAATAAAATAAATGTACATTTTCTTACCTGCAAAAAAATGTGCATTTATTATTTTTTTTTAAAAGGTGAACTTATCCTTTAACCCCTTGGGATTTCAGATGCCAGGAGGCAGGGCGGGGTTTCTGATTATGTGACTTCCATAATTGGCTGTCACAGCAGTCACATCGTCGAAAAGCTCCCGATCACCAGTATAGATTGGGAGCTTTCCATTAGCTGCTTTCCATTAGCACTCTCAACAGTTCTGGGTTTCTTTAAGGTATGCATATATTTGGCTTTTCGGTATTAAGGCCCACCCACCAAGAAGCCAAATATATGTGTACGGCCGGTGGGAAGGAGATAATAAAGGGCATGAGGAGCTCTGTGACAAACAAAATTAAATTGATTGTACCTTGAGCAGAGGTTATTATCGAGGGAGGGTGGTTATACAATCACCAAATATAAATGGTTCATATAATAAACTATTTATTTAAAGTGATAGTAAAATCTCATAGTTTATTTTTACCTACAAGTAATCTTATAATAAAACTTACCTGTAGGTAAAATGAATACTGTATCTCCTAAATAAGCACCATTTAGGAGATATTCTGGCAAGCAGCAGCCGGTGACGTCACTGGCGTATGTGCTCTGAAGGAGTAGCAAACCCGTGCCAATCAAGTGTCAGGAGCCTGGGAACCCAGGAACTCGGAAGGAAGACTGGGCGAAGACGGAAGACTCTGCAGTGGTAACAGCGCACCGCTGGAGAGCTTCATTTTACGGTAAGTCCTTCATAATGTGCTTGTATGCGATGCATACTAGCACAGATTATGCCTTTGCCTTGCAGGGGGAAACTTTTAGTTTTTTTCTAGAGTTTACTACTGCTTTAATGGTCATTGCAAATAACAAGGGGCACTCCTTGCACCTGAAAGAAGAGAAGTTTAACCCCTTTACAACAGAAATCTGCATATATGCAACACCAGAGCGGGTGGGCCAATAAAGTCCAGCTGCCACATATGCGTTGCTGTGCTGTGCTGTTCTGGGATGTGCTCCATTAGCACCCCCATAAATGTGACTGACCTGTCACTAGCAGCTCAAGATAAATTATTGACAAGAGCTGGTAGGATGGGCTCCCAATGACATCAACACTGTGCAGTCAATCATAGTGTGCATGATCTAGAGCAGGGATCTCTGAACATTTCAAACAAAGGGCCAGTTTACTATCCTTCAGACTTTAGGGGGGCCGGATTGTAGCCAAATGAAGTAGAAAATATGCAGCATCAGTGAGAATAAACATGGCTTTAGGGTTGGTGGTCAGTAGGAGAAGGAGTAGTGCCCCATCATTGGTATTAGTGGAAGAAATTATACACCATCATTGGTATCAATGGAAGAATAGTGTCCCATTGTTGGTGTCAGTGGGAGACATAATGCACCAAGGGCTGGATAAAGGCTAGCAAAGGGCTGCATCCAGCCCTTGGGCTGCAATTTGGAGACCCCTGATCTACAGACTACTCAAAAGGACCTGCTCTCAACGTAGGCAACAGATTGACCACTGCAGAAAGACTTCTTTACAGTACGGGCTGTACAAACATGCAATAGACTGCCAGAGGAGCTAGTTCTAGCCATCTCTGCAAACTTCTTCATAAAAAGGCTGGATGTTTCTAATTGCAAAAACTTGACATTAATATTTTTAATAGATAATGCTTTGAATTGTTGAGAAAATTGGTCCATGCTTTATAATAGTTATTTTCCCTTCTGGATCAGCTGGGGATTTGTGGTTTTGAGAATGCAGGTTTTTCATTAATTTTTATTTGTCTTTTGATTAAACTTGATGGAGGCGCATTTTTTTTTCAACCTGAATATACAACGTTTATCTGATGAACATGTTTCTGTATATACTTCAGATTTAGTTTGTACTTGCTAATAACGTATAGTCCAAACTGTATGTTCAATATTACATGTACTGCCTGAGAACGATCTAGCAGGAAAGTGAAGAAGGATGAATTTGAAGAGATTCAATGCTAGGCCCATCTTGCCCTCGTGCTCCTCAATGGCCATATGGACTCCTATGTATGTACATTGTAGGTCATCCACCTGGTGAAAACCCTTCCTAAGGGGAAATTTTTCCGGCCAGTATGCATCTGATGGGTAATATTTGTTCTCCAATTTGTAGAAATGCTGTTTGCCACTTCACCAAAAAATGATGGCATGAAGCAGAATTTGATGTAAAGTAATCTATGCATCCTCTAGGTATAGCTGTTAGTTTCCATTTAGAATGACAGCTTAGTGATTTAGAAACTGGTAAATCATAGACAAATGCATTGCGATAGTAATTTGTCAATATTTAAAACACTAAGGGTTCCTTGAAAAGCAATGACAACACAGGAAATAGATATACACAAATTACAAAACATTTGGCAACCACTTGCTGTCATGAAGGTGTATTTGAAAGGTAATTTGGATTTCAAACTGAACAAATCAGCCCATACTAACATTTTGTACTTTAAATGTTGTTAGGTAAATAAAACCTAGAATGACAGATATTATCAGTTTCAAACAAATAGATGGAATACGAAGATTCAAGCACTTTTCCCTGTTTTCCCTTGTGGGAGTTCAGATCAGCCAAAATGATGTTTTAATTTATTTTTAAAGGTTTTTTTTTCTTTTAGTTTTATTTAAAGCATTACTAAACCCAGGACCTTGCATTCTTTATATTTGTTCTCCCACAGTACACACAACATGAAAATGCAATTATTTTAGTAAATATAAACTGCTAAAAACCTTTTCTCATCAGCAGTATATAGGAATCTTGCGACTTCTATCAGTGTCCAGCTGAGCACTGGTTAAAGCTTGTAGGATGAGTTTTCATTCTGCTCTGACTGTCCTCTGAAGCTGCATAACCCCTGACTCTCTGGACAGTGCTGATTGGCCCTGTGCTGATCACATGCAGCCTCCCAAACAAACAAAATCTCTAGCCATACACACTAAATTGACCATGCGAATAGTGACTCTTAGAGCTGTGTTCTATCAGCAGATGGATTGGAGACAGTAGACGGAGGGGAGGAACAGAGACGACAGGATCAAACAGCCTTTCTACACAATGTGGAGGATTAGCCTTTTCGGTTCCACAGTGAGTATAACAAGCATGCTTTACTGCATTTACAGACTAATTTTAATATTGTGGGTTTAGTAACACTTTAATTTTAAAAAGTATGTTGATGTAGGCAAAGTAATTTACTCCAACATGCAAATAAAAATGGCCACCTGCCCAAGTCTATAACTGTTAAGCCAGTTATAGACTTGGGCAGGTGGCCATTTTTATTTGCATGTTGCAGTTTGGTACGTGGGTGCACTAGGACCCTGGCTGCCATTGTGCTACATGCTGGGGTCCTGTGCACTCCTTTACCTTTAAGAGGGGTGGGCTCCCTCAGGTTCACCTGCCCTTGATCTATCCATTAAATACATGTGCCTCTACTATGGGGACTCTCAAATTGTAGAGTTAGGACCACAGATTATCAGGGTGCCATGACGTGGCTCTGGGGCTTACGTATGTATTTGCAAATGTGTGCTAACTAAACACCCTGTTATAAACGCATACGTGTTAGACAGGTTCATTTGGTTGTTAGCAAGCTGGCTGGCAAGTTGTCCAAGAACATTGTTCTCTCCCTTGTATTCACATAGTAATTTACTCCCTCTTCGGTGGAGAATAGAAAGCTGGTTACTCCTTAGTGCCCTATGAAATGTTAAAAAGGGATTATTTTCCCATTCATTAAAGTAAATAGGAACAACTGAAAACACAAGCTGTTAAGCACAATGCAATAAAAGGAGTATTAGAAATAAAATTCTAACCCCACTTCCTATGTTCACCCCATCAAGTTTACAAATTATTTGAAGGAGTCTTCTAGGTCCTGGTCTATAATTTTTCTATAGTGGAGAAGAAACCCAGCCAAGATTAATGTTTGCCAAACAAGACAAAATAGAAAAGAGCAAAGAACCTCCATAGCAGGGGCGGACTGACAACTCAAGGGGCCCCCGGGCAATAGGGGATCATGGGGCCCCTGTGTCCTTGCCCAAACTCAAAAAAGCCTATGAAAAAGGTACCAGGGGCATCTCATGGGGCCCCTTACTGACCCCGGGCCCTCGGGCAGTGCCCGAGTTTCCAAATGGTCAGTCCGCCCCTGCTCCATAGTGTAGTGAGCCTAGAGTATTTGTTAAAGTGTTACTAAACCCAAGACCCTGCATTCACTATATCCGGTCTCTCACAGCACACAGAACATGGAAGTGCAATTATTTTAGTAAATATAAACTGCTAAATACCTTTTGTCATCAGAATTTAGAGCAGTCTTTTGACTTCTATCTGTGTCCAGCCCAGCACTGACTAAAGGTTGTAGGAGGAGTTTTCTTTCTGCTCTAGGAGGATGCAAATCCTCTGACCTCTGTCTGGACAGTGCTGACTGGCCCTGTGCTGATCACATGTACTCTCCCAAGAAAAAAAAAAAAAACACCTCTCTAGCAATACACACCAAACTGAGCATGTGCATGCCTATGGTTTAGTCTGGAGATAAGAGTTGGTCACTTGAAAAAGGGAAGGAACAGAGAAAAAAGGATCAAACATCCTTTTTACACAATGTGGAGGATTAACCCCTTAGGTTCCACAGTGAGTATAACAAGCATGATTTACTGCTTATACAGACTGATTTTACTGTTGTGGGTTTAGTAACCCTTTAAATCTATTTTTACCTTCATGATTATCATTCACCCCCTCCCTGTCCAAGACATAAAAATCATCACACAAATAGTTTTTGCTTAATTCTGTCTCCAACTTATTTTTCTTAGTCATTGTCTACATGCCTTGGACTAAAGAGCACTTGGTGATGCATTTATCATTTGATGCTTGTTCTCTATGATTAACTCCCAAGTCCAATATGGATACATTAAAATTCTTATTAAGAATATTGCTTTTGTCTTGTTCTACTATACAGATACGAACAGCACACGAGGGTAAGGGCCCTACTCTTTCCTTTAGTACAGGAGGAAGTG